TTGTGTCTTGCACTTCGTCTGCACCTCGTACTTCATTGTCCTCTCCTATACCCCAAGTATTTGTGTCTTGCACTTCGTCTGCACCTCATACTTTGGGCTCCTTCTGCGTACACCTGGTATTTGTGTCTTGCACTTCGTCTGCACCTCATACCTAGGTGTTACTCTTATTCTCCCTTCCTATAACAACAGCCTTTCGACACCCACAGCTAACCCGGAGTGTCAGCCGAGCACGGTGACTGCTGTACGACAACACGCACGTGAATACCTAGACAGCAGGCACCACCCCCTCATATTCGTCTTCGTACACACAGTTACACATTCACACTTTCGCTACACCATTCTCTTTCCTGTGTTACGACACATATCATAAAAATAAATTGTAAAATTTGAATCATTTCTTATATAAATATATATAAATTTTCATAAATAAAATATTAAAAGAAAGGTAAGCCTTTATACATCTAGCTCTTAATTTTTTTAATTTTTATTATTTTAAGTAGACTCGAATCTTAAATATCAATTAGTAATTTATCGATTTTTTAATTTATATTTTTAAAGTTAAACTAATAGTTAAATAAGTTATTGTAATAATATCAATGATTTTTTTTAGTTGGTGAACGAAAGGATTTATATGACTTGCAGACAAAAAATCTTTATATTAGAGCAATTAATAATCAAGTCATTGAACTACAACGCCATGTATCTCAAGGAATTCTTAAGGTGTTATATGTGGAAATTTTTATAATTTATGCTTACCTGATTCCAGGCCAATGTATAGATGACAAACTGTTAACAGAATTTAAGTATATTAAAAATAATCCTAAATTAAATTGCGCAAAATTATACAAATATATAAAAAAATTTAACCACAATAAGAATGATAGTTTTCAAAAAGAACAAAAAATGCGGGAAAAATACTGGAAATTTGAACTGGAAGATGTCGAAAAGAATATGTTAATTAGATATTATTTGAGAAATAAATTAGATGTAAATAAAACATTATCTTTGCGGGATAAATATTCAAAAACATTGAGAGATGAATATTGAATTTATTTAAATAATAAAGGATTTATTTAAACAAATTATCAATTAGTTTATTAAATGGATTACCAAAGGAGTTTTAAATTATATTTAATTGATTTGATAAAAAAAATTATCTTTTAGCTTCGATGCGAAGCTAAGCAGGTATTAATNATCAAGTCATTGAACTACAACGCCATGTATCTCAAGGAATTCTTAAGGTGTTATATGTGGAAATTTTTATAATTTATGCTTACCTGATTCCAGGCCAATGTATAGATGACAAACTGTTAACAGAATTTAAGTATATTAAAAATAATCCTAAATTAAATTGCGCAAAATTATACAAATATATAAAAAAATTTAACCACAATAAGAATGATAGTTTTCAAAAAGAACAAAAAATGCGGGAAAAATACTGGAAATTTGAACTGGAAGATGTCGAAAAGAATATGTTAATTAGATATTATTTGAGAAATAAATTAGATGTAAATAAAACATTATCTTTGCGGGATAAATATTCAAAAACATTGAGAGATGAATATTGAATTTATTTAAATAATAAAGGATTTATTTAAACAAATTATCAATTAGTTTATTAAATGGATTACCAAAGGAGTTTTAAATTATATTTAATTGATTTGATAAAAAAAATTATCTTTTAGCTTCGATGCGAAGCTGAGCAGGTATTAATTTTACTATGATGTGTTTTTTTTTTATCGTATCTAGTTGGAGACATTACCCTTAAAAATTGAAAAAAATTCCTTCGTCCCCTGAAAATGGGGGAAATATCCAAAAAAATTACAAATTTAAAAATAGGTAAATTTTGTCATTTTTTTTACTTTTTTTTCTTAAAACTTCCATAACTTTTTCAAAAATAAACAAATCAACATAAAATTTTTTTATACTAAAACCTTAGATATTTCCCTTTCGTTTGATATCATTTTTTGAAAATCTATCACTTAACCTGCTCATTGGGGGGATTTAAAATAGCAACTTTTTTACAAAAATTAACTTTTTCAACTTAATTTTTGAAAATGTTCCGGAAATACTGCGTCCTTTAAACATATATCAAATTAAAGCTTATTTTATGTACTATAAAATGAAAAAAAAAAATTTGTCCCGACGACCTATCTTCTTTTAATTGAATGACTACCGTATTCAAAAATATGCTATTTTAACAAATTTTTTTTTTTTAAATTAAACACTATCTACAGATTTGCATCGAAGCGTTTCTNTCTAAATGAAACACTATCTACAGATTTGCATCGAAGCGTTTCTTATGATAGTGATTTTCATCACTGTCAGATATCATCTATACTTGTCCCATCTATACCTCGTCCACACTTTGCCTCGACCCTACTGTGCTACCGTTTTTTTTAAGATACTATTATTATAAAAAAAATTTCTGGTAATGATCAACTAGTTTATTAGATGAATTACCATATTCATTTTAAATTATATTTAATAGGTTTAATATAAATTAATATCTGTAATAATTTATGGATAGCTAAATTTTAATAAGTTTTTTTATAACTTTATTTTAACTAAAATATGGTATCACACAAATTATTTTTATTTATTTTGATCTACTACATATCACGCAATATTTAAAAAAATATAGAGTAAATTTTTGTAGTATGTCGCAATATGACCAATGCTTTGCATTACGCATCTTACATTTATCAATGAAAAATTTAATTTGTATTTTGTATTACTTATATAGAAACAAAAAACAACCAGCACAGTGGTGACGTGGCATAGTTGGATTAAGTATAATGATATCTGACAGTGATTAAAAACACTATCATAAAAAACGCTTCGATGCAAATCTTTAGATAGTGTTTAATTTTAAAAAATTGGTGGATTATTCCAAAAGATACATGATCTGCTATTTTCTTATTAATATTCTAAATGAAAAAGGGATTATTAAAAAATATTATTTCTCATAAAAAAATAATTTTTTAACACAATTATTGTTTTATAACACTTTTCAATAAGTTATAGCATTATAAAGTTAAAAATGTAAAAATAAAATCAAGAATTTTCATACGAAAATAGCATTTGGTAGACATTTTCACCGTGAAGTCCGAAATTTTTTTTTTCCATAATAAAGTATATTACCTCTCCTATTAGGGCATATGGTTCTGGGGTTATGAATAAAAAAAAGAGATTACAATAAGGTAGATAGTTGTACTCTTACAGATAAAAATAGGTGGATGGGGAATTATATGTAAGAGAGATTTTTACTATGCAACCTAATTGAAGTATAACTGAAACGTAAATTTTCACCTTGGGTATTTTGACCTCTACTGCTTAGGTATGGTCTAACACATATTATGTCAAAATATTATGGGTACAATTGTCATGGAGTTATTATGAATAACAAAACTATTTTGAACAATGCTGATCAAAATTCTGCATCATTGTTTTTCCTATACACTCGCGTATTATAAGAGTCCTAGGCTGTCCGTAATTTCCTGGATATGTTAGGTCTTACGAGCTTATATGCATTTCTCATATAAGAGATTTATCAATGACATGTAATTTTTGAATTAACACACATTGTGACTGAATTATTAATATAAGGACAATGTTAATATAATTATAAAAAAGAAAACATAAATTAAATTATGGATAAATATTAATATACTTGGCAGTGATTTAAATCAATGCAATAAATTTATATTTGTAATCATACAGATATAAAATTTGTTCATTTATTTTTATTGAATTATTTTTAACTTTGATATGAAAAAAAAAATAATAACATTCATGTAACTATAGTTTATTATTATAATTTAAAGTTTATTTAAAATACTTCTGTATTGAAAGCTAATAAAAAAAAAAAAAAGTTTATTTAAATGTTACAAAGTTAAAACGTTATAATTTTAATGATAAATCAATGAATCATCTATGTTAATTTAATAAAGAAAATGGTATTAGATGACATTATTTTTTATAATTCATTATTTATAATGATTTCTGTTTTAATTATCAAAGCTAAATTTATGTCAGAACTGTTGAACACATTGAATAATAAATTACAAAACTTAAACGAATAAATTCGTTTACTTCCACGTAAAAATTGAGTTTTTATAGATTCTATGAAATTTTATGTTAATGGATTACGATAATTTTTATTAATTAACTCTCTTTGGTAATTATCATACTCTTCGCCAAAAACGTTCGATTCGATTAAAAAAGATTCTCAACAAAAATTTCAATAGTTTTACCACTTTCTTCAACATCCTTCAAATCAAGATCTATACTTAACCTACAACCTTATCATCTCAAAATTTCCTTTAGCGTTTCAATTTTTTCATCACTTGAAAAACACAAAAGAGTACCTTTATAAAATTAAAAAAAAAATCAATAGTAATAATACAATATTATAAATAAAATATAATATTAGTAACACTGCAAATGATGCGTAAATAATTTCATATCTAAAAATATTATCGAATAAAAAAATGAAACATATAAATTAAAATTGAAAAAACAAAGCATTTAAAATTATTCTATGCTTTAAATATTATATACAATGCGTACCTACATAAGCAGATATTATAAATTAAATATTGATGTATGTTATTTTTAAAAAAACTAATTAAAATTACAGAACATATCTTGAAAATTTATTTCTTTAATCTAAAGTTAAATATAAACATTCATTTAGTGAATACTTGGCAAAACATATTACACATCAAAAATATATTGTCAATTAAAATTTTTTTTTGATATAACTTTAATAACAACATAAATGCAAAGAAATAAATATAAATGAAATAAATGCAACATAAATGAAATGAATAATTATTTTTTAATGATTAAATATATTATAACACATCAGGTTTTTGTCTTTTAACATATTCAATTTATCGGGGTAAATATTTTTTACTTGAACAATAATTTAGTCTCAGTCCTTATGATACCATTAAAAATTTTAATCTAACACAATTAAAATATTTGATTAAAAATTGATATAAAATTCAATGATTTTGTCGATTGCTTTATTAACAACGTATTCTGTGTATCTCAATTATCTGTCTTGGGTGTGATTGTTAATCAAATGGTTAATTAAATAAGATTTTAAAACTAATGTACGTTTACTAACTAAAGAAGGTTATCAACTATCGATAAATTTTTATTCAGATAGTACTGTTGGGAACTTTTCTTTGGAGTATTCCTAAATGTCTCACCACATTTATGATATTGATAATATAGGTGAAGAAATCTGTTTCTAAGATAGTAAGTATTACCACGGACTATGTAAAAGATGCATCAATAGTTAGGGAGAAATTTTGAATTAACGACGTTTTTATTTAGATAATGTGATAGACAGAAAATGTCACATCATTATGATTGACGGTCATAAATAACATGATCTAACATCTTTGCCACCGTTGAATGCATACAAACTACTGATAATCAATTTGTGATGCACTATAGGCCTCATATTTTCCTAGAATATTTTATATATCTCTTATTGACTAATTTTATTTCATTTTTAAAAAAAATGTTCTAAGTATATTATACTGTTCATCGTATCTTGAATCTTAGAATATATTAATGAAATTATTAAAATATTTAAATAACCGCAGTTTCATATAATGAAGACACCGAATACAGACCTCCTCCTAGCCATTGGTCCATATCAATTTGTCATGGTACCTGCTGCGTGAATTATTTTTTTAAAAAACTATTATTTGGTCTTTTATTATTAATATTATATATTTCAACGAGTTTTTTTTTAAGAAGTTATTCGAAGTAATATATTTACGATAGAGAGGCTCAGAATATCATCAGCTACCATAGGTAATCACGAGTAGTTTAAGATTTTTGTAATATTACACTAATTGAAAATAAAACCACATTCACTTGGCAAATTAATTTTAATATTAATTCAATATAATCATTAAATTTAAACAATTAATACTAATTGTTAACGTACAAATATTTTTTGATAAAATAAAAAATCTGATAAATAAAATTGAAAAGTTATTAAAATAATAGTAATTTAAATAAATGTATATTTTTTGAAAACATTGGTTATATAAAGAAA